CAAAATCACAACAGGACACCCCAAAATCAGCCCCAAACTCAGCCTCAAAATCACAACAGGACACCCCAAAATCAGCCCCAAACTCAGCCTCAAAATCACAACAGGACACCCCAAAATCAGCCCCAAACTCAGCCTCAAAATCACAACAGGACACCCCAAAATCAGCCCCAAACTCAGCCTCAAAATCACAACAGGACACCCCAAAATCAGCCCCAAACTCAGCCTCAAAATCACAACAGGACACCCCAAAATCAGCCCCAAACTCAGCCTCAAAATCACAACAGGACACCCCAAAATCAGCCCCAAAATCAACGCAAGACACCTCGAAATCGGCCCCAAACCCACCCTGAAAACCCCAAAACCGGCCCCAAAATCAGCCCCAAACTCAGCCCTAAAACCAGCCCCAAAATCAGCCCCAAACACCCCAAAATCAGCCCCAAACACCCCAAAATCAGCCCCAAGAACCCCAAAATCAGCCCCAAACACCCCAAAATCAGCCCCAAACACCCCAAAATCAGCCCGACACCCCAAAATCAGACCCAAACACCCCAAAATCAGCCCCAAGAACCCCAAAATCAGCCCCAAACACCCCAAAATCAGCCCCAAGAACCCCAAAATCAGCCCCAGACACCCCAAAATCAGCCCCAAACACCCCAAAATCAGCCCCAAACACCCCAAAATCAGCCCCAGACACCCCAAAATCAGCCCCAGACACCCCAAAATCAGCCCCAGACACCCCAAAATGCCCCGAATCGGGGTTTTCCCGCTCACCTTTCTTCACCGCGCTGGTTTCCAGTGGTTTGAGCCCCAGTTTGGCCCGGAGTTTACTGGGAATGGGAAAAGGGGGTCAGGGGAGGGGTCCCAGGGGGGATTTTTGGGGTGGGGGGGACCCCAAATTTGGGGGATTTTTGGGGAAAACTCGAGGGGTCTCACTTGGTTTCTTCCACGCTCAAGGAGGATTCGGCTGCTGCGGATTTAGGAGCGGCTGAAAAGGTAATTAATGAATTATTGTTGATTAATTGGGGTGGGGGAGATCTGCTGATGCTCCCCAAAGTGCTGGCACGCCCAAATCTGCACCAGAGACCCCAAAATCCCCTTTAGCCCCCCCAAAATCTCCTTTAACCCCCCCAAAATTCTCCTTTAATCCCCCAAAATTCTCCTTTAAGCCCCCAAAATCCCTCTGGAGCCCCCCCCATCCAAAGCTGCCCCCCTCGAACCCCCAAATCACCCCCGGCTGCACCAAAACCCCCCCAAATCTCCTCAGTTGCACCTCAAAACCGCCCAAAATGCCCCAAATTCACCTTCAGACCCTCCGCAAATCCCTCCCCGCCCTCACCGGGCTCCTCCCGCTCCTCCTTCCTCTCCCTCTTGGCTCTCCGCTCGTTCTCGGAGCCTCCCCGGCCATGGCCGCTCCTGCCGGGCTCCTCAGGGCCTCCGCGCCGGGAGGAACCGGAGCCTCCCCCGGAGCCACCGCGCTCCCCACGGGAGCGGCTGCGCTTCCCCCGCCGCTCCCCGCCGCGGTGCCGGTGTTTGCGGTGCTCGCGGGGCCGCCCCGCGCTGCCGCTTCCGCCCGTCCCGGCCGCTCCCGGAGCCTCCTCGGCCGCCTCGGCCCCGCCGCGCTCCCGGTGCTTCTTCGAGGCGCCCATGGCCGCGCCGCCACTTCCGGGGGAGAGCGGGACTTCCGCTCGTTGCCATAGCGACGCTTCCGGTGCTCGGCTACTTCCGGCGGAGCGCGGCGCTGATTGGCTGAGGTTTAGGCGGGACCGTGAGGGCGCTGTGGGATGAACCATTATGCGCGCGGAGGTAGGAGTGGGGTGATTGTGGCGCCGTCCTGTCCCGCCACAAAGGGCTGGAAACCTCCGTAAGAGGCACCGGGGATCTTCCTACACGGCTGCCGGTGAGGAGGCTCCGTGCGGACCGCCGGATGGGGGACCCCGTAAATAGCGCACCCCCGGGGTACAACAAAATGGAGGCGTCCAGCGGAGATGAATAGAGACTGTCCTAAGAGCAAAATGGCGGCTGCTTGGGGGTGCAGCAAAATGGCGGCGCATGGGGGGGACCCCGAAAAGGACGGGGGTGTCGAGAATCCTCCGGGAGAAGAAAAGGGGCGCGCCCCCCATAACTGGCGTCCCGCTGAAGCGTGGTGGGAATCAGAGACTCCAAAATGCGCCCTCCGGGGCTCGGTCCCGCCCCGTTTGCCCCGGGCCGTGTCCGGTCCCCCCCACCAGCCTCGTGGCCTTTGATCCACCCGGGCCGGGCGCCTCAGCGGCGCCGGGGGCGGTTCTGGAGGCGTGGCCACAGCCGGGGGTGGGCGTGGCTTGAGCCGAGTATAACAGGCTGAGCCGGGCGTCCCACTCCCGTCACGAGGATTGCGCGGAGGTAGCGGCGGCCCTGAGAGGGTGCGGGGCTCCGGGGGGAATTTCTGGGGTGCGCCAGCAGCTTTTGGCTTCCCCATGAGAATATCGGGGTGCCCAGGGGTTCTTGAAGTGCGCGGGAGGGGCTCGAGATCCCCCTGCAAGGGCAGATTTGGGTGTTCAAGGAGGGGCCCTGTGAAGGCGCTGGGAGAGGCCGCGAGACCTTGAAAGATTTCGGGGCCTTCTGGGGCCCCTTGTGACGGTTTTGGAGTCCCCCGGGGGTTTTTAGATGCCCAAGAGGAGCTTGAAACCCCTCCTAAGAGCATTTTAGGGGGATACCGGAGAGGTTTTGGGGCGCGGGCCGCACCTTTGGATCTCTTGAAAAAGAGGGGGGCAAAGTTGGGGTTCAAAGTCCCCCTTGAGGGCGTTTGTGGGGGGAAAGTCCAACCCCGCCCGAACCCTTTCGGGGTGCCCTGAGGCAGCGGGGGGGGGGTGTCCCTGAATATTTTTGGGGTCCGATTTATCGGCCAGATGGAGCCCGAGTCGCCCCCCCGGGAGCTGGAGCTGTCGGCGCTGGAGGCCGAGAAGGAGCCGATGGCGGCGGCCGAGCCCGAGCCGCAGCGGCCCCGTCCCCACCGCGACCCCATCCCGCCCCCGGAATCACGGCCGGGCAGCGAGAAGAACGGGCTGGTGATGAAAATCCCCCCCGAAGAAGAAGAAGAAGAAGCGGCTTTAGGGGGAGCCGGAGCTTCGGGGAGCCCCAAATTCACGGGCTTGGGCAAGGAGGAGCTGCTGAGGGAGGCCGGGACGGCGCCCTGGGCCCGGGCCCGGATGGTTCTGCTCGTGCTTTTTTGGGCGGGCTGGCTCGGGATGTTGGGGGCCGCCGCTGCCATCGTGGCCCAGGCCCCTCGCTGCCAGCCCCTGCCCTCCAAAGCCTGGTGGGAACTCGGGGCGCTCTACAGAGCACCCCCAAAAGCCTTCGGGGGGAACCTGAAAGGTGAGGGGGGTGGCCCCGTGAAGGGTTTTGGGGGGGTCCCTTAGGGGTGTGTTGGGGTTGAAGGAGTTCTCAGAGCGTGGCTGGAGGAGTTTGGGGGGGTTTGAGAAGTTTGGGGGGGTCCCCTGGGGGAGTTTGAGGGGTCCCATGAGGGCCCTGGGGAGTTTGGGGGGTCCCTAGAAGGGAGTTGAGGGAGTTCAGGGAGTCTCCAGCTGGGATTTGGGGAGGTTTTTGATGTCTTTTAGGGTTTTGGGGGGATCCCAGGAGGGTTTGGGGTTCCCCTGGGAGCCTATAGTGGGGAGAGGCCCCGTTAAGGGACCCCCAAAAGGAATCCAAGGTTGGTTTTTGGGGGGTGGGGGATTCATTTCAGTGCCCCCCAGCACCTGTCAGGAGGATCCTGGGGTTTATTCCCAGGAGGAATTCCCAAAAACGACCACAGGATCAGAGAGGACCCCCCTCCCCTGCTTAAAAGGGCCTGGGGGGGGAAGTGACTCAGCAATTTGGGGGCATCCCCCCGACTTTGGGGGAGTTTTGGGATCTTTGGGGTTCCCCAAAACCTGAGGGAGCCCCCAGATCTTGGGGATCTTGGAGCTTTCCCCAGCCCTGGGGTGATCTGTGGGATTTTGGGAGGACTTTTCGGGACCCCTGGGTCAGTTTTGGGATCTCAGGGGGGGATGTTGGGGTCACCGGAGGTGTTGGGGTTGCTCTGTCGGCTCAGATTTGGGGTTCAGCCCCTTTTCTTTCCCTCCTCCAGGTGTGGAGAAACGTTTGGGGTACCTGAGGGACAAGCTGCAGATGGGGGGGGTGGTGCTGGGCCCCCTGTACCCCCCAAAAGCTCCAGGAGCCAAAATCCCCTCGCTGAAGGAGCTGGACCCGGCCCTGGGCACCATGCAGGACTTCTCTGCCCTCCTGGAGGAGGCCAAGAGCGAAGGTGGGGCTGGGGGGACCCCAAAACTGGGGAGGGGGACCCCAAAACTGGGGAGGGTGGGGGGATACAGTGGAGAGGAACCCCAAAATTGGGGGGGAAATG